CATGCTCAAGCAGTGGGACGACTCCTCGGTGCAGTGCCCGCCCCCGGCCGGAAGCGTCAACGGCCGGGACAGGTTTTCACTTTTCAACGAGCCTCCGCGCGACGCTGGGGCGGCGGCGGCCGCCACCTGGAAGGCGTACCAGGCGCGGTGCGCCTCGGAGCTCGCGGGGTACGAGATCGTGGGCCCCGCCGTCCACAACGGCCTCGACTGGATGCGCGACTTTTACAGCGCCTTCTTCGCCGCGTGCCCAGAGTGCCAGGAGCCGGCCAGCCCGCTCTACGTGACGTACATTGCCTTTCACGCCTACGCAACCGCCTCCGACACCGCCGGCGTGGTTGGGTCGATGGTGTGGACGCACGACGCGGCGTGCACGCTGCAGGCGGAACCGTGGGCGCTTGGCCGGCCGGTGCTCCTCACAGAGTTTGGCGCCCAGCTAAACGTGCAAGACAACGTCGTCGTCTGCACGGCGTGGGACGTCTGCCACGTCGACACCGCCATCACCGACGCCGTCTTTGCGAGCGGTGACCCTCTGCCCCGCGCGCGGTGCTCGCCGTCAACACGCTAGGGCTACCGCGTCGTGAGCGTGGCACCGTCGCTGTAGGCATCTACCTGCACGGCATGTCAAACGACTTTGTCGACAACCGCGTCGCCAACTGGCAAAACACCATCTTCTCGCCCGGGGGGACGGTCCCCTTTGGCAAGGGCGGCGCGTGGGGCAAGATCTGCCCCCGCCACGCCCCGTTTGGCGTCTGGCGCGGTCAGGTCACGCACGGCGGCGCGCGTTTCGGGCTCTACCTTGACAACCAGTACCCGCGCGACCTCGACCGCTTCGGCTCCAGACAGCGAGAGAGGGCCGCGCCCTCGCCCTCGCGGCTTCAGGCCACACGTCGGCTGTAGGCTCCACCGAGTGGTGCACCGTGGATAACACGTGGCAGCCGTGCGGCGGCTTCCTCCGCGACTGGGAGGAGCTCTTCCGCGGCCCGAATTCGTGCGACTGGCACAAGGCGGACGGCTCGGACAACGGGGTGCTCAACGTGATCGAGGACTCGCTCGAGTACCACTCCACCTTTGTCGGCCACTACACGCTGGGCGACATCGCCTTCGACCGGATGATCTCTGTCTACAATGGCCACTCCATGTACTGGAAGGTCTCCAAGCCCTAACCCTAACCTTAACCCTAACCCTAACCCTAACCCTAACCCTAACCCTAACCCTAACCCTAACCCTATGGCCACTCCATGTACTGGAAGGTCTCCAAGAA